TAGTAATAGGGGGGAGAAGAAAAAGTTAAAAAAAATAAAAAAAAAAAAGAAAAAAAAAAGAAAAAAAATTAACAAAAACGGTGAAGGGTGACGAAAATTTCTTACCGTTCCTCATACTTAAAGTGGTTAGACCGAACATGGCGAGGAATGCGAGCTTCTTCTCAGAATACTGTAATTTCGCCGGTGGACCTTTGATGATCCAAAGATCCACATCCTTCGTTTCATCCTCGCCTTCCGAATCCGAACTACACGCAAGACCTGTATTCCTCTCCCGTTTCCTTTTCCTTCTCCTTTCGGCAAGATCCAACGAGGACGTCAACTCTTTCGGCTTCTCAGGTACAAGAAAGGACTTTTCGCTGGTTATCTCCTGTTTGACCAGAGCCTTGCTCAGGTCAGGCACATTTAACACCGCCGGTTCGCACTTCACGGAAATCTCAGTCAAATTATTGCACTTGTCGGTGAAACAAAATGCGGTTTTCAGCTCGTTAGAGAAATTCAACAGTTTCTCTTGATATTTTGGTATCTGTAGGAGAACATTGGACACGTTCTGACAGGTACGCAAAACTTCCTCAGACTTGATGCTCTGCATCAACTGGCTCGTATCTATAGGCTTCTGCGCGATGTCGTTTATGCTGAACTTAAAATTCGGTTGAAACGATAATGTGGACAACAGGTTGTTCTGATCGCTCTTAGACTCTGATTCAGGTTTCATCTCCTTCTCGGCGAGATTGAAGTTGACGTTCATTGGTTGGAAAGTAGGGGGCGGGCCTTCCCTTGCTGCTCGTACGTCGAGTGGGTGATGGTGGTCAACGGTTTTTCTTGAACAATCGAATTCTTCCCACGTGATTCTGGTGGCTCGCCGCCGTTTGCTTCCCGTGATTCTCAATCTTCTCGTTACACGAGTTAACTAGCTTGCCGGTCTCCCTCGTCGACGTGGTATCCGTCGTGGTTCCGCTTTTATGATGCGAATTCGCGTGATTCGCGATCTTATTCCCATTCCCGGCCACGATATTATTGTAATTCGCGTTTCCACCTATTTTCTCGCTGGAAACGCAATTAACAAGATTGGACGAAGTCGAAGGAGGCGACGAAGACGACGACGACGACGACGACGACGACGATGACGATGACGACGAAGACGGTGACGACGACGGCAACGACGAGACTTCGTTCCGCTGGCCCGCCGCCGCTGTAACTGCTGTTTGACTACTTTCGTTCCCATGATGCGCTACGCTTTGTTTCGTATTACTGATCACAGGAGCGCTGTTGTTGCTACTCGCGCTACTACCACCGCTGTTGGTAGTCAACGTGGTCGACGTTACGTTGATCTTCGGCTGCGAGTGGATTTGATGAGGCTGCGATGACGATGACGACGACGACGAGGAGAAATGGGCCGGTTTGTACAAATTGGCTACGTGCGAGACAGGTATATGGGGATGATGAAATTGTTGAGGTGGATAGGGGATCGGATGCGACAACGATTGCTGGGAATTCGCGTTTTTCGCGTTATCGGCGACAGCCCCGTCGTAACACAACCCGATTGTTTGGGATGTGGTCGTCGTAGCGGCCGATTTTATCGACGATTCTTGATAAGAAGAAAGTTGACTCGATATGCTGTGATTGTGACTGTTCACGATAGTCCTTTGCTGCGGCTTCGACGAGGAGCGAAAGGAATCCTCGAAAGGTCTGACGAAAGCCGGTTGAGAGGTAGCCAACGTGCTCGTGCTTGTGACCATAGTAATCGCGGTGGTAGCGATGGTGGTGGTGGTGATGATGATGCTACTGCTGCTGCTGTTAGTGCTCGTGTTGGAGGCCGTGTTCGCCGTCGTATTGGTCGCGGTTGCGCCGTTGTCTTTGCTCCTCGAGCTATGAATACCGTGGGACAACGGCGATGGCGATTTGTGGGTCAAGGTGGTCATGTGGTTCGCGCTGTTCATAGTCGAGGGAACCGAGGTCGTTACAATGTGTGTTCCGTGGCTTGTCATGGTGCCGCTGCTCGACAAACCGTTGTTGCTCGTCGTTGTACCAGCTGCGCTCATATTGTTGCCGCGTTGATGTTGCGATTGTTGCGACGATGATGCTGACGGTAGCGGCGGTGGTGGCGGTGGTGGTGGTAGCGGCGGCACTTGTGGCGACTGTTGCACCTGTTGTTGTTGTTGTTGTTGCGGTTGTTGTTGATGGTATATAGAAGTCGTGACCGTAGTCGTCGCGCTGCTCATTATCGTAGCTGTGTGCTGACTAGAATGAATGGTAGTTGAGGGTACGGAGGGTAAATGGAGGGAAGGTATGGAGATGATAGGCGCCAAGGGCATGGCGAGGGATGGTGGGGGCGGTGGACCTATTACCGCTGGTGTCAACGATGACATGGAGGGTATAGAGGGGATGGGCGGAGGGCCGCCGATAGGCGCGGAACTTATCGGTGGCGGAGGTCCAAGGTTCAATGGGGGTAGAGGGGGCATGGCCGCGGTGCTGACGGAGCAGATGGTAGCCGTGGCCAACGATGCTGGTCCAATGGGAGCCGGTGGATTTGGAAACGGTGGCAAACGAGAGTGATAGATGTTCGCCGTTGGATCCGACGATGGTGGTGGCGGTGGTGGTGGCGGCGGTGGTGGTGGAGGCGGTGGCGGTGCTACTGTTGGCGGAGGAGGAGGAGGAACCGAAGACTGTTGCTCTTCTTTCCTCGACTCGACGCGATGGTGACTGTTACCGACAGATCCAACGCTAGCGTTACCCGCGTTGCTCCCGCTGTTGGTGCCCGTGCTGCTGCTATTCCCACCACCGCCACTTCCGCCTCCGCCGCTACTGTTCCCGCTTGGACGATCTCTGTTCTCGCGTTCTCGCTCCCGCTCGCTATGCATCTGAGCCGCTATGGTCGGCTTCCTAGCTGGAACAAATCCCGAACACAGTGCTTGGTAATCTTCCACTGATTATCTACTGGTGTCAACTTACTATTTAGTACACGTAGTACACGGGTCGTCGATTATTTCGAAATATTGGCAATTTTCGCGCACGATGCGCTCGAAAACTTTTCCCTTCCACGTATTTATTATTGTTTATCGAAATATAATTCGTACGCGAGGAGAAGCGTTGTCCACGAGGGAAAAGAAAAATAACGCGATCCAAGGTGGATGGATACGGAATACGATCGAGTGAGAATTCGTTCAACGAGTCAACGAGTCGTCTTTACGTGTATACTCGAACGATTCTGATCGCGCGTTCGAAAACGTATGTTTCGTGAAAAGACTTTGAATAGATGACGGGAGAGAAGAAAAAAAAAAAAGAAAAAAAAGAAAGAAAACAAATTACAAATAGAATTTTTAAAAGTTAACGATCGTTCGTCTATTTTAACTTACCTGGCCGATCCAGTTAGTTTAGTCTTTCGTTACAGTGAGTAACAGAGATTGATGTATTTCAATTATTCGAAGTATTGGGGATGATTGCACAGTAGAACTTCAATGATAATTGGATAACATATTTGGTTCGATTATGCATTTCGATCGGTTCGATTGGGACGCTCGTATGAAAAAAAAAAAACACTCGTATATATCGTACGTACAACAACGTAGGAAATTAGGTATTGGTCTGATCTGGTAACGACTGATCTCGCTGAATCTTCCCCAAAACTGTTTCAGAAAATGAATCGAGGGTCAAGAATTCCAAGTCAATCAGAATTTTGATCACGTTTTTTTTTTTTGCAATGTTTATTTTCAATTATAGTCCAAATATACATGTTTACATAATAAATTATATAAAAACGGTATAATTTTGATAAAAGAACATGTGTGACAGTTATATACATAGGTGGATCAAGTCAATAATAGGGTAGAATACGTTTGCTACAATTAAGAAAAATTATTTCAACACTGATCGTTTAATTGCAAATTTCTAAAACAGTTGCGGGAACTAACGCAAGAGTGCACTATGTTTCAGGAAAACGATACAAAATTGGCTTAATTAGTTAAGACTGATCTGTAAAACGGTTCATCGTTTCGCGTTTAAGTGTGATCGTTCGAGGCGAGACGAAATGTTTTTATCAGCGTTTTCTAGCTGGTTGAAATGAAAGTGATGAAGAGAAAAAAAAAAAAAAAAAGAAGGAAAAGAAAAGAA